GTTGCTATGACTTTTCATTCGAAAGTTATAAGCTTTTTTTCCACGGGCCTTCTTTTAAAATTCCGATAGTAATATTGATATTCGACCTTTATGTGCAGCTGATGAACCGGAATTAATTAAATTATATGAAAATTTTGGTTCGAAATGGTTATCGGAATGTGTTCAAAGAACTTTAGTTTATAGAGGTTTTTTTCTTTTCATTTATTTATTTTTATATAAATTATTTCTTTGTTTTATCTAGGAAAATGTTTTTCAATAGAACGAACAAAAAAATTATATGATTTTATTAATCATCGTTTAGATATGTTATTTGTTAATAATAGGATATTTATATTTACTTTAATTTAATTTAATTTAATTTTACCATTTTAGGGTGAAACATTAGAAAATATTGATGAAAAACGTTTTCAATTATTAAAAACAAATTTATCTGTTTATGAATCTGAACAAATACAATGTCAAATAACATTTCAAAATAAAACAATAACATTAAATGTAATTTATTTATTTTATATATTAAATATAAATTTAAATTTAAATATTTTTAGTCAAGTGAATGTAGTTCATGAGCACTTGAATATGATAAAAAGAAAGTTATATTATATATTCGAAAAGATCTTCCAACACTTGATTATATTGATATATCAACTGAATTAACAAGATTTGTTTATAAAAAACCACTTGATACATTGGTTCATTCTATTAGTGATAAACTTTCATCAGTATTAGAAACACTTAAAAGACGAGGTACTCCTGTTGATCGTTTATTAAAAGTTAAAGAACAACAACGTAATACTTTTCTTTTTTATAAAATTTTTATTATTTTTATTATTTTAAATAGCAATTAATTTTAAACTACATATTCAACAACAGCAATTACCATCCCTCATCCCACCACCCCAACCTCAACAAGCACAACAACAATTACCACCAATAGCGCCACCACCGTAACAGCAATAGCAACAACAACAACGATCAGTCCAAAAACAAGAAAAACAGGAATTACATGAAAATACTGAGAAATTGATACAAGAAAAAACTCATCAATTAGAAGAATATGAAGAATCTCAACGAGGATTTTTCCAGTTTAAGAGAGTAAATTATTTTATAATAAATAAAAAGGTAATCATCTTTTATTTTGATTTAGTTTATTCGTTCCATTACAAATTCCATCTCAATCTCAATCTACTCGAAATCCTTCAATTGAAAATATTCAAAGTCGAATAGAAAGAGATCGTATAAATAATTTCGATCAATATAAGTTCAACGATGATAATGATATAAGTCGTAGTATGATATCATCAAATCGGCCTTATTCTCAAAAAGAATTTAATCAAACAGAAACAAATCGTCATGAAATAAATAATTCATGTGAATTCATTCCATCATCAAATATGATTCGTTATGAAAATCTTCTTCATGGAATCCCACTTTATATTGATAAAAATGTAATTATAACTAATTTAATGATTGATCAAGGTAAACAACTTGCATATTTATTATCTCGTCTTGCACAACAAGTATTTAATCTTCCTGTACAAACAATACATCTATTTCGTGATATTGATAGTGGTAAGTTGATAAATAAAATAAAATTCTATATTATTATTTAATTATTTATTTTAGCACGTATTGCATTCAACAGTAATGGTTCACTATTTTATAATCTTCGTTATTTTGAACAAGTATTTGCTGATGAATTAAAAATACATATTGAAAATGGTTCATCATTATCATCATCATCAAATCCAATTGTTCGTCGTATAGTTAATTTTTATTTTATGGTAACTTGTCATAAATTATCACATAATATTGATTCAAATCATGATTTAAATTTTATTAATCGTCTTGAAAGAGCTTCCGTTAGATTTATGGATGCGAAAGATTTATTTATATCGAAATTCTCTTTTTAATAACAATTGTCAAATATCTTTGTGATTATTTTTTTTTTGTTTTAAAATAAATAAACTTATATTTACTCGAAGAAGAAATAAAAAGAGATGATTTTATTATTTTTTAGTGTATTAAATCTCTCACTTTACATCCTGTGAGGAAAAATATCGGATACAACTCTTGATGGTGTCCATCTCACACTATTAAATACGCCATATCTTTAAAAACAAAAATTAAATATTCTACTGTTTTCTCAACTTAAGATATATAACGTATGATGCAAAAGTAATGGCACAAAATGTTGACTCCTGTTTCTCTTTGATAGGAGGACGCCCAAAAAAACTTTTTTTTACCAAAAGATAGAGTTTGTTCTCCTCTTTCGAATTGTATAATAGTTTGTTTTTATAGTACATTTGAAAGTGAAACGACGCAATAAAAAAGAAAGACATCTTCAAAACAAATCCGTATTTTTCGTGAAACTTAAAAAAAACAGCGCAAAATCTTGATTCCTATATCTCTCGAATAACTTCTCAAGAAGTACATCTTGAACCGAAAGTTTTGACATCAGCTGATAGGAAAGGACCCGCACATTTTGTACGCAAATCTACCACCCCTAAAACATATCATTTTTATGTTATGGTTTTGTGGCTTGGACCTTCACATATGAGACGATTGCAAGCCATTTGTACAATTCAGAAAAAAAAATGGCTAAGCTTATATCTTGCAGAATTCTCAACCAAATTCAATAATTTTATCAGAGTATATTCTTCACAAGTAGGGCTAGTTTAACTGCTAAAATCAGTCACCTAGCTGTTATCTAGCAATAGAGGGCATGAAAAAGAGGTCGCTTTTCCACTGAAATTCCACACGGTCATGTCCAATGGCGGTAAATTAAGTTAATTTTTTTTCTGTTAAGAATATGTTTTAAAAATTTATTCTAACTCATTAGTGTCTTCATGAGACTCGCTATAAAATGCACTATTTGATTTAGCCAAGTAGCGTTTATTTTATTTGTACCCGCTCCAAGTATTACTGGCCAAAGATTTGGTCAAAAATGTCCCGTCACGCTGTAAATTGTTTTTTTCCTAATGAAAGCTCCAACGAAACCTCACTCAATTATAGCCAAAATGTAGCCCCGAGGGAAAGAAATAAGATCCAATTTGAATGAAATCTATAGTATTTTTTATTGGAACAAAAATTAAAAAACTCAGTCCTCAAACAGGGGTCTTCCTCGCTAAATGTCCCGTCACGTTTTTTTTTCGTTTTTTATGTATCTCAAGTTCTACTGCATAAAAATCAGAATAATTTTCAGCAAAAGTAGAACGCTAAATATAGAAGGGATACTCCAAATTTGAGCTCTTAATCATTTGTCGTTCCGGAGAAAACTCAAGGGGGAAAAGGCGATACTCCATCTGCTTCAAAGTAAATTTTGGAGTACAGCAGAGTACGCTTGGAGTAGAGTGGAGTACGCTTGGAGTAGAGTGGAGTACGCTTGGAGTACTGATGGAGTAGAGTGGAGTATCACTGGAGTACGACTGGAGTAAAGTGGAGTATCACTAGAGTAGAATGGTATAGCGTGCAAGGAAGAAAAGCGACACTTCATCTA